ACATTCCCCTCCACAGAGTGCTGCACGGCCTGTGGAGAAGGACATATCACCGCCCTCGACGGCGTCAGTGCCTGCACCCATTCAGGTCCCAGCAAGGCCTACCGTACAGACACAATCTTCACAGCGAACAAGTCCGCCTCACAACCGCGAACCGCCTTGGAACAACCCACGCCCGATGATCCCCTCTCCGATTCCCAACACTCCCGGCCCTCAACCTACCATCACTCCGTCCAGCGGCAACACCTCCAGTAGACCTTCACCAGGTGTCATCGCGCCCTGGAACTACACACCGTCGGACTTTACCGGCAAGAGCAGCTTCGGCGCGTCTGTGCAGACGAGTTTGGCTCCGCCTCCGAAGGCGCAGGCTGCTGCTCGATCTGTGGTCGCATCGGCTGGGAGCTCAAGTGGGTCGAATGGGTATGGGAAGCCGCCGAGGAGCCCGACAACGAAGGTGCAACACGATCCTTTGGGCGCGATATCGTAGAAGTCCTGTACAGTACTGTAGCTTTTGTTTGCTTTGTATATTCTCTTTCTTTCCCTGTAATGGACGCTATCGCCTTGATGTGCATTGTATACTTTCTCTACTGTAGTAACTTAAACCACGAACACCCTCTTGACTTGAGCCGTATGTTTCTGACATGTGCTTTCGCGACTTTGAGACCACGAAAGCCGACCGATGCGGGGAACATGATCGCGCAGACTCCGGCGGCGGCCGACGTCCTCTCGAAGCGCGCGCCGGCTCGCGCCGATCCAACCAAAACGCGCACAAAACACATGAATGACCGCGCGTCGGGTCCCGGTCTCCGCCTTGCAACTCGTTCCTACCTTCTCCTTCCATCTCATCCCTTTACCGCCTCTACTTCACCTGCGATGCTCAGGAAGTTCTCGCAGAGCGCGGTGCGCGGCCAGCGCGGGCTGCATTCCAGCGCCGCTGCACGTATGGTGGTCAGCACGAACCCGGTCAAGGCGCAGGAGGTCCCGGTGTGTACACTTGCACACGAGCCGTGTAAACTGTATACTGATACCGTGGGTGTATAGTCATGGTCAAATGGAAAGTACCCGTTGATTGAGCACGAGTACGATGCCGTTGTTGTGTACGTTCAATCATATATCATATATCTTTGAATGCGGGGAAGACTGACGTCGTGCTCGATATTTCAGCGGTGCCGGCGGTGCAGGATTACGCGCTGCCTTCGGTCTGGCAGAGGCGGGATTGAAGACGGCGTGTATCACCAAGCTCTTCCCGACGCGAAGCCACACTGTCGCTGCTCAGGGCGGTATCAATGCTGCTCTCGGCGTAAGCTTCCATTCCAAGTGTCACGAATATATCTGTCACTGACATCTATCTATCTAGAACATGACGGAGGACGATTGGCGCTGGCACATGTACGATACGGTAAGGCGATAGCTATACTGTGGCGAGTTTGTATTGAACATACTGGATTAGGTCAAGGGCTCGGATTGGCTCGGCGACCAGGATGCCATTCACTACATGACACGCGAGGCTCCCCGTACTGTTATCGAGGTTAGTCCCGTCGTAATGCTGCCAGAAACCTTATTTCTAACGAACTTGATAGCTCGAGCACTTCGGTGTCCCCTTCTCGCGTACGAAGGAGGGCAAGATCTACCAGCGTGCATTCGGTGGTCAATCACTGAAGTTCGGAAAGGGTGGTCAGGCATATCGTTGCGCCGCCGCTGCCGACCGAACCGGTCACGCACTGCTGCACACGCTGTACGGTCAATCTCTGCGCCACAACACCAACTTCTTCGTCGAGTACTTCGCGCTCGACCTAATCATGCAGGACGGCGAGTGTGTCGGTGTCATCGCACTTAACATGGAGGACGGCACACTGCACCGCTTCCGCTCACACAAGACTGTTCTCGCAACTGGCGGTTACGGACGCGCATACTTCTCCTGCACCTCCGCACACACGTGTACCGGTGACGGTAACGCCATGGTCGCCCGTGCTGGTCTTCCGCTCCAGGATCTGGAGTTCGTGCAGTTCCACCCGACGGGTATCTACGGTGCGGGATGCTTGATCACCGAGGGTTCACGTGGCGAGGGAGGATACCTCCTCAACAGCGAGGGTGAGCGCTTCATGGAGCGTTACGCACCAACGGCCAAGGATCTTGCATCTCGCGACGTCGTCTCGCGTTCGATGACCGTCGAGATTCGCGAGGGTCGCGGTGTTGGCCCGGAGAAGGACCACATCTACCTCCAGCTCTCCCACCTTCCGCCTGAGATCCTCCACGAGCGCCTGCCGGGTATCTCCGAGACGGCCTCCATCTTCTGCGGTGTCGATGTCACCAAGGAGCCCATCCCGGTTTTGCCGACTGTCCACTACAACATGGGTGGTATCCCGACGCGCTACACTGGCGAGGTCATCACCGTCGACGAGCAGGGCAAGGACAAGGTCGTCCCTGGTCTCTACGCTGCCGGCGAGGCGGCATGTGTGTCCGTACACGGTGCCAACCGTCTCGGCGCGAACTCCCTCCTCGACATCGTCGTCTTCGGCCGTGCCTGCGCACACCACATCTCCGAGACGCTCACCCCCGGCAAGCCGCACAAGGCGATTCCGGAGGAGTCTGGTCTCGAGAGCGTGCAGTTCCTCGACCAGATCCGTAACGCGTCTGGCAGCAAGCCCACCGCGGATGTTCGTCTTTCGATGCAGAAGGCGATGCAGAGCGACGCTGCTGTGTTCAGGACGCAGGAGACGCTCGACGAGGGTGTTGAGAAGGTCAAGGAGATCTACAAGACGTACGCGGATGTCGGTATCAAGGACCGCGGCATGATCTGGAACTCGTGCGTTCTTTCACTATTCGTCTTTTGCACCCTATACTTACCACATTCTACAGCGACCTCATTGAGACTCTCGAGCTCCGCAACCTCCTCCAGAACGCTGTACAGACTATCACCGCTGCCGCCGCCCGCCAGGAGTCCCGCGGCGCACACGCCCGCGAGGACTTCCCCGAGCGCGACGACGAGAAGTGGATGAAGCACACTTTGACGTGGCAGAAGGACGTGACGAGCCCTGAGGTTGACATCAAGTACCGTGGCGTTATCGCTACGACGCTCGATGAGGCCGAGTGCAAGCCCGTGCCGCCGTTCAAGCGTGTCTACTAGACACGTTCGTCCGGTTATTCGTTGGCTGATGGAGATGATGTGGTGGACCCGTACTTACATCTGGTTCTGGCGTGTATGCAGTAATTCATAAAAGTCTCGATGTCATTATCTTTATTGGCCTTTTCTTCGGCCTTGGTGTGTGCGATTCGCGATCCAGTGAGTTGTAGGGCGCTGTAAACCCGGCGACGGTGCTATCTGCAGGCGGCGGCATCTGCAAGCGGCGGCACGGACGGCGACGGAACGGAGGCGTGCGCGCCGAAGTTGAACTTCGGCGCCCGGATCACAGATCCGGAGCCGTGAGCCGCATGCGCGGTAAGGCGGGACTTCACCCAAACCGCCACGCATGCTCGAGAGAGAATACGCGCTGGGCGAATGCGACCACAGGTAGCTCTGTAAGGATACGAAACAGCGCATCTAGCAGCAACTCGATTTCACGGTCAGAAACCCGCTCAGTACTGCTACAATCCAACGTATGCGCCACTCATCTTTCAACGCATCTCAAGATGCGGTCCGAAGATAGAGTAATTTGGACGTCTATCTTCAAGAAGGTAGCGCTGGTCCAGAGCCACATCAAGCCTACAGCCTGCGGGCTCGAATACGACCATCCGAGCCGAGGTCGACTGGGCAGTTGATCTGTCAATCTTCTTGACCGGTTTCCTTCTTTCATGGAACGGAGAAGTGGGTTCTCCGGCGTGCATTGCGTGCCGCGCCTGGCGGTAGCAATTCTACGCGGCGCACGGTGTACGTCGATACCCGTACAGCAGGCCCAGTATGGCGGGCATACTATACGAACGTATACCAGCTTTCCTCGAGCCTTCCGGGCGGGCTGCGTCTACCTGCAATACCAGATACGTGCTAACGGAGAAGTTGAACGGATGCTTGAATCAGACGATGATCCGTGCTATCCTTGTGACACGGTAGGAGCCTGGACGGGCGGGAGGTCCTGGGCAGACTCTGGGGCCCACGAAGTAACGGCAACTCGTTTATCCCCCGTGCGGGCACAGCGCGCGGCCCCCATACCTCGGCCGCCCCCGGTCTACGGCCTCCGCTGTCCTCCGCAATCTTCCTGGGGCCTCCTCATTCTGCGATACCTATAAAACATACCATGCGTCGACGGCCTGCCTCCCTCATCGTCTCTGCGATACTCCTCATCCGCCACTCAAACACTCTTCTGAACTACAAACAAGCCTAGGGGGCGCTTATCGGCCACCATGCTTACCTTTTACAACCCCTACATCATCGGTGCCATCTCGACAATGGGAGGCTTCCTATTCGGCACTGATATCTCGTCTATCTCTGCCTTCATCGGTGTCGACGGGTACAAGGACTACTTCGGTCATCCCGACGATATCGTCCAGGGTGGTATCACTGCAGGTACGCTCTACCTTTCCGCGCTTCGTGATATAAGCTCTTCACTAATTACATCTCTACAGCTATGCCCGGTGGTGCCTTCATCGGTGCTAACGTCGCTGGTTATGTTAGCAACCGCTTCGGCCGCAAGCCGTCCATCATCATGGCCACGGTCTTTTGGGTCGTTGGTTGCGCACTGTGCTCTGCCGCTCAGAGCGTCGGCATGCTCGTCGTCGGTCGTCTCATCAAGGGTATCTGCGTCGGCTGGTGTTCAAGCCAAGTTCCTGTTTACCTTGCCGAGCAATCGCCCAAGGTACGCCTTATCTCCGATAGCCAATCTAGCTAAAAGCTAATATGCCCGAACAGGAAATTCGTGGCCGTCTTGTTGGCTGCCAGCAGCTCGCTACTACCATCGGTATCCTCGTTATGTTCTACATCTCGTACGGCTGCTCCTTCATCTCGGGTCCGACCTCCTGGCGTCTCGCCTGGGGCCTGCAGATTATCCCCGGTTTCCTGCTCGCGGTCGGCATGATCTTCTGCCCTGAATCCACCCGCTGGCTCGCGTCGCACGACCGCTGGGAAGAGGCTGAATACATCGTTCAGCGCATCTACAACCAGCCGCTCGACTCCGCTCAAGTTCAGGCTGAGATCAAGGAGATGCACGAAGCTATCCGTCTGGAGCGTGAGGCCGCCGATGTCACTTACCTCGACATGTTCCGCGCCCGCCTCATCACCCGTACCATCGCTGGAATGTCCGCTCAGCTTTGGAGCCAGCTCGTCGGTGTCAACGTGATGATGTACTACATCGTCAACATCTGTACGCGCGCTCCCGTTCATCTCGTCCATTGCATTGCTGACAATCATGATAGTCCAAATGGCGGGTCTTACGGGCAACACCAACCTCATCTCGTCCTCGATTCAGTACATCATCAACTTCGTCATGACCATCCCCGCCATCCTCTTCGTCGACCGCTGGGGACGTCGTATGACCCTCATGCTCGGTTCGGCGTTCATGGCTGCTTGCCTGTTCACCGTCGCTGGTCTTCTCGCCGGATACGGCCACTACGTTGACAGTGTAGACGGCAACGAAGACGTCAAATGGGTTGTCACCGGTCCTCCATCCAAGGGTGTCATCGCTGCCTGCTACCTCTTCGTCGCCGCATTCGCCGTCTCTTGGGTGCGTCTGCATGTGATAGTCGTCTTTCCGAGCACTTGGCTAACTCGTACCTCCTAGGGCCCGGTCAGTTGGATCTACATCTCCGAGATCTTGTAAGTCACGCTCGCTGTGCACGTCCGATCCGCTCTAACGCCTATCTCTTCAGCCCCTTGCCAGTCCGTGCCAACGCTGCCGGTCTTGCTACTGCCACCAACTGGATCATGAACTTCGCCCTTGCCTTCGTGAGTCTCCGTCCTCGCCTCCATAGCTTACCCTCCTTCTGACCTGAGTCCCATACAGTTTGTCCCCGTTGCGTTCAGGAACATTCAATGGAAGACCTACATCATCTTCGCTGTCTTCTGTATCGCGTCCCTCGTTCAGGTCTTCTTCACCTACCACGAGACCAAGGGACGATCGCTCGACGAGATCTCCGCTCTATTCGAGTCCGGTGTGTCGCCGTTCGCCAAGGCACCACCCGCCGACGCTCTTGCGCGCGTCACTGCCGCTAGCAAGAAGGCCGAATCCGTCTCCGATCACGACTCTGCCAGCCACCACGTTCACGACGAGAAGATGGCATAAGCGTTTCTGCCCGCTCTACCACCTCCACAACACCTCAACCAAAACGGGATCGTGTGCTCGGAAGTCCCGGCCTCTAATGGAATTGTACAACGTCTCTTCACTCCTCACTCACGGCTCCACGATCTTCTCTCTATCGGACGCATACCCTAATCACGCCTCTCATGAATCTCCCTCAACTCACATTTGTACTTGTATCACCTCTCATGTCCCGCTCACCTGTGCCTGCCATAGACACGTCATTGTCACGACTTCTGGGCCTCTCATGTTGTACTTCTACCGCTTGCCGTATAATCATACGATCAATCTACACACATTACAACGCTAGCTCGTTGGCCGTCGTCTCCTCATGGCCATCAATGATCCCGGAACCATCGGGCCGGAAAGTGCCAGGTATGATTTCAGCGTTAACGCGCTCATTCCTCTTTCTCCTTCATGCCGTGAGGTACACTCGAAATACCACATCTTTGTTGCCAGATGTTGCCACCCTTTGGTCTCTCGAAGCACGCATCAAACACAAATGTCTATTCTCCTACGGTCAATATCGGCAGCACAGCAGCAAACGACTATGGTCAATGCAGGCAGTTCGGGCGTCACGGGTTTCCTAGCCGAATGTATCCTCTTCGGCTGTTGCGACATGCTATTGGGCTCTCGCGCGAGTCATTAGGTCAAGACGGGTGCTGACGCGTTCCTACGTGTCCCGTTTGTCTTTCGGCTTGCGCGGTACAGGAGCCCGGCGAGGACAAAACAAACACAGCATCGCCTCACGCCTCTCCTGGATACCGACCTTCTTCTAGCGCGCGGCGCATATTGGGCCAAGGGTTATGCTGGGTGCGTTTGTTTGTGCTGTGTCATCGTCCATCACTTTGCGAGTCCAGCTGCGCTCGTTTGTATGACAGAGGATACCACTTCTGTGTGAGTCTACGGTGCTCCCACGGGGAGTCGTCGGGCTATAGCAAGATCGTCCGCAAGTCTCTGTCTCGATTCCTCCGAGCGCATTCTGCAAGCTCTGAATTGATTCATTTGCAGGAAGGCATTGACAGGATCATTGAGACGATGTCCTTGTTTCGTGAGAAACCTTTGTCTGCCTCGCGTGGCATTTCTTCGTAGACTGTTCGATACGAAGTACTAGAGGCACTGCTGGACCCCAACAGTTCTCACCCTTCCGCCCCGAGTCCAGCGATCAACGTGTCGGTGCATGTCGAAGCAGAGGTCCGGGCGCTTATTCCCCACTGTCTACAGCGCGAACCCTCTACGCGAGGGCTTGCGCTCGTTCCTGGACAAGCCGATGAACGCGTGCAAGTGCCGAGCGTCGCCACCGGTACCGGTTTTGGTCGTCCTACCAAGTATTTAAGCCAGCACGGAACGCCATTATCCCTCCTCATTCTCAAAGACACCCCTCCGGTGGCTCCCGTATCCCCCGAACAACCCTTGGTTGCCACACTTACTCCTCGAACTCTACCATCTGTATTGCTCTCTTCTACGCTTGTGTCGAAGTGTTGCCAGCTTGAACACGCTACGCTACCGACAATATGAAGGGACAGGTGCGGTTCATGCAAAACGTACCTCGCTGGTCTCTGACGTGGACTTACAGACTTCGAAGCCTTATGCTCCCAGGCCTAGTCGGCGAAAGGTGAAGCCCGAGGTATGCAGACCTTGCGCTCTATGGGAAGTCACACTGACGATGTACAGGGTCACATACCTCGTCCATTAAACAGATATATACTGGCGCAATGGGCCTTCCGTGACCTGCTTCTCAATCTCCCGCCCTCAGCGGCAGAGGAGAAAGGGATCAGGCAGCTCTACGATTCGAAACCCCGAATTCTGAAGCGGCTACTCGAGCTCGAGGTCGTCTGGAGGCAACGATATCCTGGCGAACGAGTCTCAGACGAAGGGAAACTCGACCAACAGGATCCTGATGACCAGATGAAAGACTATACTCGCCGATTTGGCAAGTTCTGGAGGGAAGACTTCACAGATGCAGATAAGGATGATTGGCAGGACCACTGCGACGGATGGATCATGTCGAACTTCAACGCGAAGTACCCTCACTACAAGTATCGGCCTCGACAGCGGAAACCAAGAGTACGAGTGAACACTGTTAAGGACAAAGCCGTCGCACCAGAAGAAGGGACTTCTGCGTGTGCTTCTGCCCCGGGCCGCGATGGTACCTTGCCACCAATGGCCTCAACCGATTCCAGGACGAATTCCAAGAAGCCGTCCCGCGCAGCGGCAACCAAGCGTGTTCGGGAAGAGGACGACGATATCGCGTCACGACTTCCAACAACAAAGCGCGCTCGTAAATCTCTTCCTCGATCTCCATATCCGCGTCGAGTTCAGCCGCCCGTTGTGCCTGCGCTTCCCTCGCCCGCTTCCTCAATAGCCCTAGCGCAAACATCCTACTCGCCGTTCACGCCCACGGCCCAGTCCAACCTCCCCTACTACTCGCCTGCTACATACTCTGGATCGGAATCTTCTTCGCAGGGGATAGGCGCGCGCGCTTCTCGATCTGTCATCTCCGCTCCACAGCCGCCCGATGGCGTATATGGCGCGTCGCCACATGTGCAGATGTTCCCATACCTGCAAGACTCCCCTCACTCGCATGATAATCGACCAGACGCGACATCTTATGATGCTCATCCGCTCGTACAGCCTTCGTTCAGCTCGTCCGACTACGTTGCATCCTCATCGGCTGGGGCGCTCGCATTCTATGCCACGCCATCGCAGATTAATCAGTCGTGTCTGACCTCGGACACTCGTACATCTCAGTTTCTCCGCAACACTATTTTCGCTTCCGAATACGACAGCGGGAATCCCTCTTCTTTGGGTCTCGCGACAAGTGATGCTGCAAGCACCCCCGCGGCGAACGGCGCTTATACTGAAACAACACGCTCCTCGATCCTTTCATTTGACGAGGATGTACCCAGCTACGATGCACAAGCTTATAGTCGGGATCGATTCTCTTGGTACAGATACCCACTGCAAGGTAGCGCGGGACTGTCTGGCTATCACGATGGAAACATCTCGCTCCCTGCCAATAGCCAGGACTACTCGACGAGGCATCTTGATCCTGCCGTGTCCGACGTCGTAAACCTAACGCTCCAACAAGTGTCTGGCGTGCTTCCGTCAAGCAGCGTTGTCGAGCCACCAATTGCAACAGATTACCCTGACATATCTGCATTCGATGAGTTGTTAACTCGCGGTCTAGATGCGGCAAATGCGACATCTGAGCAACCATCAACGCCGCAATCTCCTGACGGCTCGATAGCCCGGCAAGCTCACTAGTCTCTCTTTAATGTACGACTCTCGGCTTTCTTCCGCTTTGAGGTCCCCGTACAGCGCTATATGCCTAAGAACATACCCTCCCGGCCCGAATCCCGAATCCTTCTAGTCTCCCCCGGCTCGCATGTCACCGATTGACTCTTCACATCCGCGCACTTAGACTTTCTGGTCGCTAGTGATCTTGATCTCGCTCCCCCTTACTATTTTTTCCATGCATTTCGGACGCTCCTCAACGCTTTCATTCTCCGGACCTTACATTTTCCATAGCGGGAGGCACTCGCATGGCACTCAAGTGCACAAGCGCAGCATGTTTGTAGGCCCCTTCCTTATCTCTCAGGCATTTTCGTCGGCATAGTGCACCAAGGACATCTGTATACTCGTACCCTGAATGTATAGTTGTTCAATGAGCGTCAGAAACATTGTCCCAAATAGAATCAGAGAATAATTCGTCGCCGCCAGGGAGATGATGACAGCGAAGGCACGATGGTCGCTCGTCCGATCGTTTTAGATCACCATCTTATCAGATCTTGTGTGTATACGCAGCCATGCCCGTCGCGTATAGAGGAGCTGAGATAAGGTGAAGTTGTCATTAGTGCTCATGGCATGTACCCGCGAGATGGTGCTCACTGAACGGTACAGAGCCACGAGTCAATGTAGACAGGTTGATCACGAATGACAGCGCCGGCTGTGGTGTAGCATCGAGGTTCCAAACGCCCAGAGCCGGGATCAAGGG